CAGTCTTAGCAAAGAACCACTGTTACTGCTTTATTTTCTTCACATTATGAAGATGTTTACTTTTTAGAAACAAAATTATATCTTATATGTAATATTTCCACCTAAAATAAGATGCTGCGTTTCTTTTGCGTTCCAGTATAGTTAGTGCTGAGAAGTTGATGAGCAAGTTAATATTTTTAGAGATATGGGCATGCGCGGATCTAGAGGGGGGGGGGGGGTTCGGACCTTCCCTGGAATTTGCAGAGTCACTAAAAGTATATACTGAAGCAAATAAAAAATGACATTGGACCCCCCCCCAGAAAACGTGGACCCCACCATCACCACCACGAAAAAGGTGTTTTTTTCACGTTTTGGAAATGTATTTACCCCCCCCCCTTTGATTTTGCTTGCCAAGAAATTAGAAATTTTCTGGGTAGGAAAAGGAATTAAGTTTTTTTTTGTTTGTTTGTTTTTGTTTTTTTTAGTTTTGTTTTGTTTTGTTTTTTTTTTGGGGGGGGGGGGTGGCAAGAAATTTTTGGGTTGGAAATTTTTTTTCACTGAGGTGGACCCCCCTGGAAAAAATTCCTGGATCCGCGCCTGATGGGCATATGAAGGCATCGAGAATGGTGCAAAGTAATTAGAAGTACGATTTTTTGTACAACTTTACAATACTCGTTAGGATCGGAAAATAAGATGATCAGCATGATAATTGGAATTCCATTACTTTTAAAGCTTAATATCAAGTTGATGCAAATAATTTCAAACACACTTAAGCGCAAGATTGAACGTGTAGCTATTAAATAGTAATTTCCCACCCTGGCTCGATATTGTGCTATTTCAATACCATATCTTAAATCACACCTCAACAAAAACACACACACACACACACACACACCCTCACACACACACACCCTCCCTCACCCTCACACACACACACACACCCTCACACACACCCTCACACACACACACACACACACACACCCTCACACACACACACACACACACACACACACACACAAACAAAAACAAAAAACAAAACAAAAAAAACAACAACAACAACAACAACCAAAAAAAAAACCAAAAAAAAAAAACCAAAAAAAAAAACAACAACAAACAAACAAAAAAATGAGAGAGCCAGGGTAAACACTACATGAGCAAGAATATAACCAAAAACATGCGTATGTGGAATCAGCTAAATAGCAAGCGATTTGTATGCATGTTATGAATGGGTTATAAAAAACAAAGTCTGAGTTAAACCAAACAGAAAAACAAAGAGTATACATGTATATACAGAGGATCATAAGAAGAAGCATCATGGGAGTAGTGCAAATGGTTTAGGTGCATGGGAAACTAGCGTGAATTGACTTGGAAAGATATGTACTTTATATATTTTTGTTTACACTGCATACAAAGGAGTGTTCGATTGGAACAAAAATGTCACAGTGGTCTTCTTCTTATATTTGCCAAATAATATTGTTGTTCTGTCAAATATTAAATTTGGACAAAAACCTCTCTTCAATTTTATTCCAAATCTCTTTACCAAATAGCATTCAACAAAAAGATGTTCTATTGATTCAAAGTCAGTCTTACAAAAACTGCAAACTGGGGAGTTTAAAAAGATATGAATGTGTTGGAATTATCCTATGCAAAAGGACTATATTCGGTAATGACCAATATTTGCCCCCCATATCAAACTTTGACGGAGAAATATACAATTATGATCTAAACAGGGGGATATCTGCAGGCTTCAAAGCACTGAATATTTTCATAAGCCATGACGCCATGTGTAAGATATGACGTCAGGAAAATGACGTTAATTCTAAATTTCCACGATTTATACAGAAAAAAGGTGTATATTTCGTCGATATTTTGAGTAAAAGTCACCGAGCGCAGGTCTGCTCCAACTCAATATATTTTGATATAATGTGTAGAATGATAATATCAATGAAATATGTAAATATTGTTCTGGAGCAAGCCTGCGCTCCTTAAATTTTACAGTTAAAATAGAACAAATTTTGTCCATTTTTTCCTCTTTCTGAAAAATAACACAAAATCAGATTAGTTTGTGACGTCATAGAAATAAAAATTTCCAATATCCTACTATGAAACTATTATATTTTTTGTTAATGTAGATTTCTCATACAATATATACAATTCAGCTCATTTCAAAAAAATTTCAAAATATGATTTTTGTGGTGGGAAAAATATGCATATACCGCATATAGTTCTTTGAAACTGTAGCCAATGAAGTTTTGATTCTTGTGTGATAATTTTTCATTGTTACTATCTAATAAATTTGTAATATTCAAGTGAGACTGAATTTTTCGGCGCTTAACTTTTCCATCCCAATAATCATTAAAAAAAATCATTATATATATTCTTTTAAATTTAACGTTATAGTTCAGGACACAGATTAAAGGTTTGTATGCATCTTAGCTGCTGCCGATATTTTATCGCACTACACACATACTATATTTTAAAAAAGGAAAGAAAAATCATTTACGGACTTTTAATTTAATTATAAAACAAATGAAATTTATTGTTTTTAAATCTTGAAATATTTTGTTAAAACTTTACTATCTACCTCCGTAAATAGGCATAATTCGACGCTTATGAACTTCATAAGCGATATGAAGTTCACTCTTTGGCCGCGTGCTGGAGTTACATAAATATACACCAAAGTTCCCCATCAATGTTCGTCCATTTCACTGGGTTTTTTTTTTCATCAAAATAACAAATCAATATGAAATGACTGGTCACCCTTATGATTCTGACGACTCTCTTTACATGTTTCAAATTAGAGTAACCATGAAAATAACCCTTGATCAAAAAAAAAAAAGTATATTGAAATAATTCATAATTCGATCTTAATCGTTAATGTTGCAGAACAAATTCGTTTTCTTTTTCACAACGTAGAATGAGCACAAAGCTTTTGCGATAATGGTTAAGTAAAAGTAACCGCAGATCGCTAGTCCACACGCGATGATTCTCCAAAATAAAACACACAATTACACATGATCGAGAAAAAAGAAGTTTTTTTTTTTAAAGATAATAGTAAAGTTATTTAAAACAATTAAATATGGAGATAAAGAACAAATAAAGTGTACGATTGATTTAATGCACTATCGTTTAGTATTAAAATCAAATCAGAAATATGAAGATAATTCATTTGAAAAATTAAATTAATTTAAAAAAAATAATTTTCCGTAAATCGTTGTGTTTGTAAAATAGATTTAGAACGACGATGTTTTGTATGGTCACTGATCGCTGGTTCACCTGTTCACATGCACCCGATGGTTCCTCGGCCAGAAGTGATCAAAAGAATGGTTACGTAATTGTAAACAAACGGAAAGAAAAGGTATTGAAAACAAAGGCATGACAAGAAATGAAACAGTATCTTAAATTTATTTACAAAACGGACACAATCGAGTTAGTAACGGCTCACGGACCTCCGAGGATATATCAGGTCTTTAGTATGTCCCATACATGTATATGTGTAGTGATCGTCATAATGGATGATACAAAGCAATACAAATGTCACTAGTTAATAATTACTACTAACAAAGGAAAATTAACACTTTATTAAAGGAATCATTACTTGACCTTTGCCACGAATTGTCTTGGGGCGAAACGTCTCAGCACGAGTGGTCTTAAGGGGCGAACTGTCCCGCATTTATAGAGAACAAATAATGCGGGTGGTTTCGCCCCATTACCTGTTCGCTCTGAGTGGTTTCGTGCCATTTCCCTGTTCGCCCTGAGTGGATTCGCCCCCAGTGGTTTTCTTCAAACATACAGTGTGCTTGATGTTTATTTAAGCAAAGGTCGTTTGATTAATGAGTGTTTAGATTAATATAATTATTGAGCACTTTAATTAAATTCAGTTATGAGTTGCCGATCAATACTAATAAATAATTATTTCCAGTCCGATTTTCACGGCAAATCTATGATACGAACTTTTCTTTAAAAAGTCACGAACACGGGGGGAAACAACTTAATTCATCTGTGTTAAAATACTAGAATGTAAAATATATGTTAAGTTAAGCGTTTCAATTTAATTCCAACAATTTCCATCTTTATTTTTTTCAAAGATTACTTCATTAAAGACGTAATCAAATAGGTGTGCCGTGCAGATCGCTTTAAATATATATAATAAAAACCTTTTCCATAGCCCATACGCAAATACCACAAACGTAAACATTGAAGATTTGTCATAGCTAACTGCCAAAATACACACGTGGAAAAAATTGACACTTTTAATTACAGTAACAGATATAATGGGGGCGAAACCACTCGCCGCGAAACCACTTAGAGCGAACATGTAATCGGGCCGAACCCATCCGTTACCCAGTCAGCAGCGGTGCGTCGATTTACCCAAAAGGACACAAAAGAACCCAAAAGGAACCCCAAAGGATCCAAAAGGAACCCAAAAGGAAATTAAAAGCAACCCAAAAGGACTAGAAACGAAGGGGACAATTGGCTTTTCAATGAATACTTTCATACTTTATTGCAAGTGAAACATTTTTTTTGGGGAAAAAATGTGTGTTTGGGGTGCGGGTGGGGTCCCCCCCCCCCCCCCCCCGATACCATATGCCTAGAACAAGTCATAAAATAAAACTTCTTGCTTCATTTTATATCATATAGTAAGATATGGAAATTATAAGGGAAAATTATAATATAATACTTTGTTTTTTAGCTCAAATAAAACAAAACATCTCTAACCAGATTTAGTGTTTGACGTGTATATACTTATAGGGCGTTATGTTATTTCTCAAATAAAAGTTGCAACAGTATATCAATATCAATTTATGTTTTTCCAACTTTTATATATACTTATATAATATAAATTTATTATTTAATTCAAAGTTTTAATTTTCAGTATATCATAATATGTTCATTTAGAGTCCTTTTGGTTTCCTTTTGGGTCCTTTTAGTTTCCTTTTGGATTCTTTTGGGTCCTTTTGGGTAAATCGACGCGCCCACATGCACTGCTGACTACTAGTTTTACCGCCTGTCAGTTATAAATTGTAATGTGACAACTTGATGGTGACAGTGTAAAATAAGAAAATATTTCAAATAGTCTTCTTCCTATGTAAGCGTTGTAATATGTGATAAGCATTGAGAAGAATTTATTTCGAGATTGAATAAGAAAAATGGCGGCAGTTATTTCTGGTACAGTTCTGGCTTCCTTGTTCTTTGACCATGCCGACGTAAAGGGAGAAATGGTATGTGTTATGAATTTTTAGTTAAAGTGTTTAAATTTTTCTTGAATCGTAACTATAGATATTCTGCAAACTGATGATTTTAAGAATGAAGGAAAGCAAAGACTAGAACAAGAAGGGTGTTGCTAAAACGCGGAACGGAACGGAAAACGGAAAATTTAATGTCAAGTTTTTCACTAAGCACAGGTATAATTCACACATAGGAAGCAATATTCTTTATCTAATGCATGTAGTTCATATTTAATTAAAAGTTACCGTTGAAATGTGATTTATTTATGATTTTTTTCTCCTCAGAACATGTAACATATACATGCAATGGTCAATAAAATACACACTAATTAGACTCACATCCCAATTATCTATCAGAATGTCTCACTTATCATGCGCGGATCTGGGGGGGGGTCGGTGGGTCTGCCCCCCCCCCCCCCCGCCCTTGAATTTGCAGGGCTATAAAATGTATATACTAAACCCATTAAAAATTACCGTGTAACCTACCCCCACCCCACACCCCTAGAAAACGCGGACCCCCTCCTCGAAAACGCGAATCTAGGTCTGAAAAGTCATATTAGGTATGAAGCTTTAGTAGTCAACGACTAATCCCCACCCCACCCCCACGAAATCGGTTTTTAACGTTTGGGAAAGGAGTTTACTTTTTTTGCTTGTCAAGAAATTCCTGGTTTGAATTTTTATTTTTGGCTGGGGTGGACCCCCCCCCCCCCCCGAAAAAAATTCCTGGATCCGCACCTGCTTATCACTCATCCAAATCTGAGTTTTAAAAAATGGCTTATTCGTCAAAGACAAAATCATCATTATTGAAAGACAGAGTATATATACATTTGTGTTAGAGACAACGATCACTGGCATTAAGAAAACAATTTTTTTTAAAAAGTTTATTATAACTACAGGAGTGTTGATGCAATCCACAGGGACCTGAAACGGAATTTAAGATACATGTAGCATACATGTATATGGCCAAATTGTGCAAAACAGCATTAACTGATTGCACGGAATAACGTCAAGATGAAATTGATGGGGAAATTACATATTTTCGCGAAAATATAGAGTTGTTATTTATATTTAAGTATTGGGGGGGGGGGGGGGGGGGTTACAGAGATGTATGTTATCCACACTTAAGGTGCATGGGTACATATGCATTGGAATTACGGAATTTCTCACTCATATGGCTCATAAGGATATCGAATACCTGCCGTTCATATTAATCAGAGTGACCTTCAATAAAGTTCTCCAACTCATCCATATTTTACCACAATATGCAACATGTACATGTATATATGTACAGCATTAGATATTTTCTGTTCCGTTTTCCGTACCCTGTGCTTTGACTTCATGAATAAGAGAATGAACATGACTAAATTAGTTTGTATTCTAATAATTAAGGATTAAATATGAAAAATTTATATGATGTATATTGTTTCTGGTATGATTTTTATATCTTAAGTGATTTAACCTTGAATCATATTTTCCGTTTTCCGTTCCGCTTTCCGTTCCGTTTTCCATTCTGCGTTTTAGCAACACCTGAACAAGAACGCCCATACGGAATAAACAGGTCCGGCACAATCTCTTGATTTAGCTATATAGCTTGATTTAGCTATATAGGAAAGTTGAAATTTAATGATTTCTTTGATCACTTCCGACCGTGAAGCGACCGGAAGTGCCAACGACGAACGAAAAGGTGCCCTCTCCAATCTAGAAATCATGTTCTATCATCTCTAACAAGTCTCCAGTTCATATCTTTAGCCATTCTTGAGAACACTCACAGACAAAATTTCATTTTAAAATCAGATCATTGACCATAACTTGGCACTGGAACCGTATTTACCAAAAAATGGAATTTTATATAAAATTCGTATAAAGACCTTTTATCCCTGAAAATTTCGAAGAAATTCATTGAATAGATTTCGAGAAATCGCGTGCACAAAATTTTGTCTAAAAAAAAAGAATAATAATAACTAGAAACTCGTTGCGAGCAATGAGAGGTCTTCCGTCCGATTTTGAAAATAAAAATGTAAATTCAAGCTGAAAAAGTGAAAAAACATTTCAGACACTCTGGAGATTTAACCCTGGTCGTCAGCGTGAAAATCCAACGTGCTAACCATTATGCCATTTCGACTCCCGCTTCAAAGTGAAAATGACGAATATCAAAAGTTTGGATTTATCAATTCGAAAAACAAATTATATATTTAGTATTTTGAAAAGAGGCTCTCTTAACCCTTCAGATATTATTGAAAAATATTGAAGATGAAAAATCTATTTTTTAAATTGGCTTCTGCAAGCGACCGGAACTAACCACGACCCATGAAAAGGTCCCTTCTTCGCCAATCTAGAAATCATGTTCTATCATCTCTAACAGAAAAAAACCACTCACCATTTATAAAGTTGAAAACGTAAATTTAAGCAAACAAATTCGGGATTAAACCCAGATCGCCTTCGTGAAAATTCAATATGGATGCCACTACACCAGCGCAATTTTACCAGCCATCATCGATGTTTACTTTGTATCATTGCCTGAAGTAACGAGCGTCATGGAGGTTAAAAGTTTTTTTTATATAGTGCAGAATTATAGAAGGAGAGCTAGCTAGCCAAATTTTGTGCAAGCAGATTCACATCGGAATTCGTGACTTGATTTTAAACAATAACAAATAATCTATTACTGATGAACTGATGATACTGTTTACTTCCTTAATTCTTTGTGTATTCAACTTTTTATTCCATGTAATTCCGTGTACCTGTATTTCATACAAACGTGTCCATGTTATCTTTTTCTGCACTTCTGCATCAGAACATTTTTTCTACTATGAAAGAAGAGTCACGATACATTACGTCACGAGTAAATCTTCGCACCTTTTCTTTCAAATGTATGTTATATTGAATGGTCTCCATTTTCATATATATTATTGTATGTACCGTACAAATTACTCATTTTATTGCAATTGGAGGTCAGAGTATTTATGTTTTTGAAGACAGATTATCTATTTCATAAACTGAAAGATCCAACAATTCCTTCATATTTCATTGATCCTTATGGTAGTTTCGTTCAACAAGACGCTTGGCTATCTCCGTAAACTCCAACCTGCCAATCGGCAATCCGAGACTGACTCCGCTATGCTCCATACAAACCTCGGAAGTGATTGGTGGAGAAATATGCATCAAATCGATTACATTTCTCTGCTGGAAACTGCCTTGTGACTCATTTCATATTTTACTCTGCATAAAGTTCTTCAAACATTTTTTTTCTCTTGTCTAATTCTTCCTTGGATATTGGTTTTGATCACAACATCATGTAAGTAGTCCTTGAAAGCAAAACATAGTGTTGGGGTGCTTCAAAGTAACTCAGACTTCAAAGGTATAACATTTGGAGGAATTTCAAATAAGATCACATGAATGTATCAGCAGCATGGTAGAACATCATTGACGTCCAAGGTTAGTGTGCGAGGAACGAGCCACCCGAGGAGCTCCGAGTGCCGACCTGCTCGTCGGAGTTTGCGAAGACAGCCGCCACTTTGGACCCGCTTCAAATTTAGAAGTGCGAATATCAGGAGTCTGGATTAATCAATTCTAAAATAAATTATATATTAAGCATTTTCAGAAGAGCCTCTATTAACCCTACTAATATAAAAGAAAAATATAGAAAAACAAAAAAGTTTAAAAATTCAACTTTTTTTAAAATTCGCATCCAGTAATGACCGGAAGTACTGATGACGCACGAAAAGGTGATTCCCCTCATCTAGAAGTCATAATCTATCATCTCTAACAAGTCTCCAGTTCATATCTTAAGCCATTTTTGAAAAAAAGGGGGGACAAAATCTCATTTTAAAATCAGAAAACTGTCAATAACTTGGAACCGGAAGTGAGTTTTCCAAATTTTCCTTCTGATGAACAAAGTTCATTTGACGACGCATAATTCCTGAAAGTTTCATTCAAAACCACTGAATAGTTTTCGAGAAATCGCCTGCACAAAATTTTGGGGAGGGGAAAAAAAAATAAGAAGAAAAAGTAGAATCACTATAAGGTCTTCCATGGATATGGAAGACCTTAATAATAAGAAACAATAGAATCAGTATAAGGTTTTCTGCGGATACGGAAGACCTTAATAACTAGATGAGATCTTATTGCGAGCAACGAGTAGGTCTTCTGTAAGATTTCTGATAAGATCTTGATTCGGAAATTTTGATTAATACAAGAAAGTAAAACAACTTCAAATGAAAAAAAATATTCATATCAATTCTTCAAAATATGCCTAGCAACACATGAAAGAGTGAAATCTATCAATTTCAAACAACTTCGGGTCTTTTATATTCACTTCCGGTATGACCGGAAGTTCTCAAAATGAATTTTAACTCCTCACTGAGTGTGGAGGAGTCATCCCTCAAAGTTTCAAGGAAAAATGAGCATTTTCTCGTCTACTTCCAGTTTGGAAGAAATAACTTCCAGTGGAAATAATATGACTTGAAACAGTCTATTTGCCCCTTTTATCTTTTTTATAAACATTTAAAAAAGAAAAAAAAATAAAAATTTGCATTTTTTAAAACTACTTCTGGTGGACAATGGACGTCACGGCAACAAAAACTAAACAAGAAATTCAAATCTACAAGTCACAATCTATCATCCCTGAAAGTTTCAAGACTCAATCTCAAAGCAATTTTGAGAACAATGGTGAACAAAATGCAACTTTAAAAAAAGAAAATTGGCCGTATTTCGCGACCGGAAGTGAGGAGGGCAAAAAAAAAAAAATGCCCTAAGTTCAGATAATTTGCCATCATTGCTGAAACTTTCATGAAAATCTATTGAGGCGTTCTGAAGAAATCACCTGCACAAAATCAATAAGAGAAAAAAAAATAGTGGAAAAGAAACAACAAAATCAGTAGAAGGTCTTCCGTTGGAAACAGAAGACCTTAACTAGATACTCATTGCGAGCAATGAGAGGTCTTCCGTCCGATTCTGAAAATAAAAACGAAAATTCAAGCTGAAAAAGTGATAAAAGA